GGAAAGAAACCGAGGATTCTTTATTGAAGAATGAAGAAAATTTTTTAAAGAAAAGTAGCCACATAATTAATAAAATATAACGATTAAATTGAGGTTTTTGACTACTGACTTTGTTAAAATATATTCAGGGTTGAGTTATCTCCAAAAGTATAATAATAAAATCAATAATTATATTAACCATGAACAAAAATATTGAAATCCAAAAAATAAAAGTAAATAATGGACAAGAATTAATTGCCGAAGCCAAAAAGTGAAAAAATTCGGGTGGAGAGTGAAAATTACTAGAAAGATATTGAATGCTACCCACGAGAGAAAAAGAGAAAGGCTGAAGTAAGAAAAACAATTTGGAAGGATTTATTATTAGCAATGGCGAACAAAAAGTAGATATTTTTTTGGAGGGTCACAGAGAAGTGCTTGATTTGTTATTGACAGATGATTGAACCCAAATGAAAGCAATTTTTCCGGAAATATCCCGAACTTTTGGCAACGACAGCGTGCCTTTTAGAGCAGTTGGCAAAGAAGTAAAGAAGGGAGAGAAAAAAGTTTTTCTTGGTCGCATGTTAAACGCTTGAAGCATAGCGGACATTTTTAAAATAATTGTTGATTACCGGAAAGAAAATGAGACAGAAATTAAAAAATCGGTTGCTTCTCTAGGTTTTGAAACCAGCCTTAAACACTGAATAAAAGTTGGTAATGACACTGACGGCAATATTTTTATTTGGCTAGGGAAAAGAGATGAGGAAAATATTAACATAGATGGTGGTGGCGAACTGCAAATTGTTATTAATCGCAAAGATTTAGAAAGATACAGCACTAGTTATTATGACGGAAGAGGAGTAATTTTTTGAAAAGATTTGGATAATCGGCAATTGGCTAATGAATTATTAGAGATGAGGATAAGTTGCTTTTGGATTAACAGTGGCGAAAAAGGAAGCGCTTCCGCCTATGACGATTACCAAATAGGTTTCACTCCCACTCCTGGCTCTAATTCAGATTTACCAGATAGAGAAGTTTATTTTCCAAAAAGAAATAATGACAAATCTCCGATCTTGCCACAACCAAGTCCAAAAAATAATCAATTAACTGACACTGAAAAACAACAAATCCTTCAATATTTTCTCCAAAATGGTATTCAGAAAATTACGATTGAAAATGGAAAATTAATAATCACGCATAATAATAATAATACAATTGTAACTGACGAGGACTCCGAACAACAAAAATATCACCAAATACTTGAAAAATTACCCACTCAAACTCTATCTTTAAGTGAATTACAAAATAATAATACTAATTCAAATTCTAATAAAGACGATAAAAATTTCTATAAAGGTCTAGTCGTTGGGGCTGTTGTGATTATCTTAATTGGGCTAATTGCTTATTGTTGGAGACAAAAAAAGATAAAAAAATAATATATGGAGGTTTCTATTCATCGAGAAAGCGAACAATTACAAAAAACTACTATCCCTTCGCTTCAAAAAATTACTCGTCAATGATATTTTTTGGATTTAAAGAATAAAATAGTAGGCCGAGAAGCCGCCTCAAAAATAGTCGACTTGTTGCGGGGCAAAAATCGCATAGATTTCACTCCCCATTTAGACTTGGGAAATTATGTGGTATTGATTAACGCCCGTCATATTTCCTTTACGGGCAACAAATTAGACAATAAAAATTATTACAATCATTCTGGATATTCGGGGGGCTTGCGAACCCGTAGCACCCGCTCAATGTTGGAAAAATATCCTACTGAATTAGTTTTTAGGATTATTAGAGGCATGATGCCTCACAATAAATTAGGAGATAAACAAGCAACTAGATTATTCATTTTTGCTGATGAAGAAATGCTAAACAGAAACAAACAAAAAATATTACAAGCGCAAGAGAAAAACTTCATTAAAATCGATTTGGAATTAAAAAAATAATTGTCATAAATATAAGATTGACTAAATAATAAAGCCTATAACTCTATGGTAAACGCCCAAGAATGACTGGATAAAAATTATCCTATAAATGGCACTTGTGCAAGAAAAGAGGATCGAGAAAATTGGGGCAAAAGCAGGGCAGAAATCTCCAATCTAGATATTAGCCAACAAGAACTAAACGGATCACTTAAACTAGAAAGATTTAACCAACTGGAAACTTTTGATTGTTCTCATAATAATCTAATTAGTCTAAATTTAACAAGAAATAACCACTTAAAGGAAATTAACTGCTCTCACAACAATCTGGCTGGTTTGGCAATCGGCAGCAATTCACATTTAACTCGCTTGGACGGTTCTTTTAACAACCTTTTGAATATGTGGCTCCTCTCCGCGGTCATGGGAAGTAAAGAAAAAGCGAAAGCCTTTCTTTTTCTCAAAACCTCTAAT